AAGGGAGCATCACAAACACAACCACACAACCCAGTATCACAACAGACAGCCAAGAACATCATCAAATGCAACACAAGGAAACAGTGGTTGAATGGATGGGCACTGGGCAAACCTGGAAGAGCTGTAATTGCACACATGACTGCTCCCAACTAAAAAAATGCAATAAATTCCCCGAGTAGAAGAGACCAAGTCACTCTCTTTCGCCTGCGAACACAACATATCCAATTGAAATCCTACCTAAATAGGATCCGCAAGGATACCACACCCGACTGCCCACTGTGTGACTACCAGGATGAAACAGTATCTCACCATCTCTCTTCCTGCCGTGCACTTAGCGACCTGCGTAGCACCTTCCTACCTGCCTCCCCAGATATCGGAAATACTTTACACAACAACAAAACACAGCTGATAAAAACCTGTAAACTCCTTGCCCTATCGACATGCCGAAGGGCTAGAACCCAGATGGCCGCTGGATCGGAAAAGTAAAGTATGGTTAGAAAAACCAAACATGTCAGGCAGTGGTATGTGATCATTAATACAATTTCTTTATACTAATGAGCACTAAGGCAAAAATTATCAAACTGATGCATTTATTAAAGAGGGCATTGACGATTTTACCGTAGCGCTAATTAATATGCAGTATGTTGGGAGGTCTCAGGAACAGCGAGAATAGGTGGCTGACATTATTTGTATTCTGACATCTTCTCTCAATTTATTTGTTCGGACTGCCGTCTTCAGAGAGGATACTGCCTAGAACTTGAACACTCGTGTTTGCTTCAGCGGGACCCGTAGCTGTAGATGTCATGCGTCTTCGGACAGATTTGAGAATACTCTATCGAAATCGGGAGTTGCATGCATGTGTCCTGCTTAATAACCTTGGTCTGTTTGTCTCCCCTGTGGCTGACGATGTAGTCTCGCTCTGCCTGTGAGATGTTCGGGTGATCTTCTGAGGAGTCGGACACGAACACAAACCTCACAAACACCCAGATGAACGCTGCACTTCCTGAGTAGGGGAACTATTGCTAGAATTAGTTAATAGCTTAGAAAAACTACGTTTAAACTAATGTTTTATTTGATATATCATTAGTTAATTCTGGTAGCGCTGACCTTTTCGTCACTATTTGGAAGAAAGAAAACACTCTTCAGCCCTCAAAATGTAAACGAAGGTAACAATCTATATTCCTAATCAGAAAACAAATATTACTCCATCAAGATTTTTTTTTTTTAATTGCTTTTAGTCGCTGGCCAGCAGAAGTGCTGTGCAAAGTATCGAGGGTATTGGTAAATCAATAAATGAGCAAGAATTTTTTTAACGTGAAAAGACGAACGTGAACAAGTTATAAGAAATATGGCCCAGTAGACATGAGGGAGCTTTTCCATGTTCTCATTGTGGCATTCAGCCAGTCGTGGGATGAAATTTACAATCTTATTACGCTGAAATGTTGGGGCGCAGTGGTGTCGCTGCATCAAAACGAGCAATTTGTGGGCGAGTTATTGTAAATTATTATTTTTGTAATCCTGTGCATGCATCCAAATTGCCGTTTTTTATACAATGCCCAAATAGAGAAAAGTATTTATATCTGTATCAAGTTTTTCTACTCCAAAATTATTTTGTTTCGTCGGTGGTCTGCAGGTGTGCCAAACACAATTTTGTGAGCATAGGTAAATTAATTAGGAAGTGTCTACGTACTCCCCGATTGGGGTTTACGTGGTCATGGTGTCTAGGTGGACCCCAAAAATGTTGGATTGTGATTGG